ATCACCCCAAATCTCCTCAATTGCCCCCATAGTCGAGGGGAATCTCATCACCTGATGGAAGGTCGACGCTACGGCTTGCATAGCGTGAAGCCATCTCCTTCCAAGGATCAGGTTATAAGTAGATTGCACTTGCAACACCCAAAACTCCACTTGCTTAACCACGGATCCCGCTTTGATCGGCAGGATAATTTTTTCCAAAGGCCACTTAGGTTGTGAGTTGAAACTAACTAGTGGCGAAGTTGTCGGAGCCAAGTCTGTATCCCGGAGCTTGAGCTGTTTGAATGCATCGTAATACATGATCTCGACCGAGCTTCCCTGATCGATCAAGATGCGCTTGACATCGAATTCTTTGACGCGGAGTGTGACCACTAAGGCATCGTTATGCGGTGTCTGAATGCGCTCTAGGTCCCTTATAGAGAAACTGATCACGTCTTTCTCTTCGGTCTTGCCCCTTTTGATCGCGGGCTGGACCGACAAAACTTCTCTCATGTGCTCCGCTTTCTTGATCATACCTCGGAGTTCACAAACACGCGCCGGTTCCACAATGCCGTGGATAACATTAACAATGCCCTGAGGGGGTGCCTCCAAGTCATCCGGTCCTCGCGGATCAACCGGGGCTTGATTTGCCTTCACGCCCCTGTCAATGTAAAGGTCCAGGTGTCCGGCTGCGACTAGCTCTTCCAAGTGTTGCCTCAAAGGCAAACAGTCCTCTGTCTAGTGGCCGCGCTCTCGGTGAAATGTGCAATGGTACCGCGGATTAAAACCCTTCTGTCCGTCGCCCAACTTAGCAGGAAACCAGATATAATCCTCGTCACGGATTTCACTAAGTATGCGATAAATTGGAATTTTAAAAACTGTGGTAATGCCTGTCCTGGCCTTCAACCTTCTGTTTGCATTAGCGACGTCATCCCGGGGGTAGTCATCTCGGTCATTTCGACGACCCTTACCCCAGTTTTTGCGATTTGAACCACGGTCTGATTCCTCTGTGCGATCATTTGAACGGTTTGCCTCCTGTCCGACCGCGTGTACCTTGCCAGTCGACCTCTTGTCTGTTGCTATTGGAGTTGCCTTCGCGGTAGATGCTGCCGCATTATCTTCTACTCAGATATGCTCATTGATGCGCTGCATTAGCTGGCCCATGGATGTCGACTGGTGCATCGTAAGCGAGTCCCGCAGTCTATGTCCGACCGGGAGACCACGCTTGTACTGCGTGATTGCTAGGTTGACTGAGCAATCCAAGATCTCGTTGAAGGTTTCCCAGTATCTGGAGTTATATGCCTTGAGCGTGTCGCTCGGCTCCATCTTGACACTGAGAAGGTGGTCAACTTCCTTCGACGTCTTAGTGTTGGTTTTGAAGCGCGTCACAAAGGCTTCCGCCAACTGATGCCACCTTTCTATGCTCTCCTTCGGCAGCCTCTCAAACCATTTCAAGCCCAGCTCGCCCAAGCTTGACGGGAAGATAAGGCACATAACGGCTTCATTTCGCCTATGTCCGGCCATGACCTGTCGGAAGTAGCTTACATGCACATAAGGATTGACTTTTTTGTCGTAGAGCGTGAACTTTGGCTGGTGGAACCCTGCCGGAAGCGGTGTTGTTTCTATCTCTAGGGAGAAAGGAGTGGCGTTCAGCCTCGCCAAGTCTGTATCTAAAAGGAGAGGCGCAGCTAGGCGGGGTAGAGGCATTCCTACCTCTTCACTGGCGTGAACCCCATAGGATAGCCGCTAGAACGCCGGCACCCTCTAAGCCTCCCGCCGGTGAGCCCGTTCCTTCAAGGCTGCCCGCAAATCCTCTGAACGAGCGGAATAAGAGTACCTCAACGTCATCGCCGGACGTGAGGGTTGATAGGTGCTGTCTTGCGCGCTGGACTTCTCTACGTGCGTGTCAGAATCTCTAACCTTGTAACTTCTAGTGATTGAGATTGACGGAGTACGCCGCTGGCTTTGACTGCCTGAATGGCGGGGTTGGGTGCGCTCACTGTGGTCTCCTACTCGAGCTACACCCTTCCCTTTGACATGCCGCTTAAGATCCTCCATCTCCGTCGCCATTCGCCGGATGACGGCGTCTTGGTCCCTTAGCTTGTTTTCCAGTCGTCTGGCATGCGATTCTCTCCGCCGCCGGTGACCGTCTGGACTCCGTGAATGACCAAAGCTTCTTCCGCGCTTATCCCGCGCGTCTCTTGAATGTCCTCCTAGAGAAGTCTCCAGGTCTGCCATCGAAGGAATGATGGCGGGATGTCCTTCTCTTCGTCTGCCTGACTCCGGGGTAACTCCGTCGATGGCAAACAACGGAATCTCGTCGTTGTTCGCCATGGACGACGATCAGATAAGCCTTTTGTCTGTCAAGTTCCCACAGACGGCGCCAATTGTACGGGGAGCAAATATTTCGGTAAGCCTGTACTCCTTTCTTCCAAGCTCCTACCTGTTCGATCGACCTGCGAGCACAACGGCAGTGAGCTACCCTCCGACGATCAAGTTAGACACACACAGGGATAGAGAGAGAGAGAAGATTGAGTGTTTAGTGTAAATCTCACCAAATGTTCATCTGTCAAACATGGGGGGCGCAGACTCGCTTATATACTTTCTGCACCCCAAATCTACTTCCATTAGTCTCTCGATACATGGTGCTGTTATCCTATCTGTCAGCACAAATCTAGCAATCACCACCTAACCAAACTGTTAGGAAACCTCGGCGGAGCTCGACAGTATGGCGGAACCTCCTCGGTTTCTCCTGACCGCGTTACGCGGCATACCTGAGTGATTCATTTGCCGAGCTCCTATACCACCGAGTTCGGCTGCATTCTGACAAGCCGAGCTCGAGACAGGTCGGTCCGGTTAGCCGTCGGCCTTTCTGCCGAGCTAATCATGAACTGTGGAAACCATAGAGGCAGGTGGACAGCTCGGCCGAACTCCCAGTAAACCGGTTTCTACACCAAAAAGCCAAGTAGCTCGGTCCACTATGCCCCTTGCCTTAACCGAGCAAAACCTTTCTAGACAGGCCCATGCTGTCACGGCCCAAATCTGCCCGGTCATTACCACGCCCAGTCTGGCTCATAAATTTCCCTCTCAGTGATGGTAGTGTGATAGTGAAGGTGAGAATAGTGGTAATGGTGTTCTGAAATTAGTAAAAATTTAATTGAAAAAATATTTTTTGTTTTTAAAAGTAACAAACAACAAAATTCGTGTGGGACTCAAGGAAGAAGATAGAGGATGGATTGGGTGTGGTAAGGCATATATATCTTAAAATGAGTGGTTTAGATTTGTTAAAAGGTATAATTAGATTTTGGATAAATTAAAATAAATGGTTCAAATTTGCTAAGAGAAATATGGTTTAATGTCTAAAATGTCCGTGGCTAAGAGATCAACAAACAATTCCTTGTTTATGCCTTGATGCAATTTAATATGGGTCTTATAACACTTTCTTTAAACAGGTTCTTTCATATTTTATTTCTTCAAACAGGCTCTTATAACATTGTAAACATGTTCTTATACAATGTAGGGGAGAAAGAGAGAGAGAGAGAGACAGAGAGAGAGAGAGATGGTTGTAATTTTTTTTAATCTTCCACGTTCTTCCACATTTTTTTTAATTACTAAAACTTATTTGATTGTCTCAAAATTATATATTTGATTATTATAAAACAAACGTTTTAATTAATTAATTAATGTGTATTTGATTTTGTTGTTGAACCAAATAAAATAAAATAAGATTGAATGTATATTTAGCTTTTGTTGTGAACCTTAAAAAAAAAATAAAAAACAAGATGTTAACATTAAATATATTAAAAAAAAAAGAAAAAAGATTGAAGGTATATTTAGCTAAAACCTTAAAAAAAAAAAAAGTTGTTAACATTAAATATATTAAAAAAGAAAGAAAAAAGATTGAAGGTATATTTAGCTTTTGTTGTGAACCTTTAAAAAAAAAAAGAAGAAGTTAACATTAAATATATTAAAAGAGAAAAAAAAAAGATTGAAGGTATATTTAGCTTTTGTTGTGAACCTTTAAATAAATAAAAAAAAAAAGTGATTGTTAACATTAAATATAAAAAATAAAAATAAAATAAAAATGAGGATTAAAGTGGGTTGGGGAAAATCAAAACCCATTAGGAAATGGGGAGGGCGGTACCCATAGGGAATGGGGAATGGGGCAAATTTATTACAGGAGAATGGAGATGGGGAATTAATATCCACCCATTAACCCCCATTGCCATCCCTATTAGTTTGTACACTAAAATATACCAAATGTATGTGTTTACCAACATTTGTTTGTAAAAACATTGACAAACTTTTTACAAATTTAACTTTTACTTCTATCAATTCTGAACTCGAGATTATTACAATATTTGGCACTAAAATATACCAAATGTATTTGTTTACCAATATTCTGGGTTGTTATCTTCCATTGAAAAAAAAAGAAGGAAGACCTTGTTGCCGGCAAAAACAATTTAGGAAAAAACAGATTATGACCAGATCGGCAAAATTATCCACCGAATGCCATCAATAGGGGGCAAAACACAGCAAGATCTTGCAGATTAGAATGAAAAATCAACATAACCGAGTCAACAAAGGCTACAAACAAATGTATAATCAGTTCAGTTCATTTACCTGTTGCAGTTCTTCGTCAGTCGCATTGTGTGGAAGGCAGAGCTTCGCCGGAAAGAGATCGGTGAGGCAAACTTGTGTTTCTACAGTCCATTGGTGAGAGACGCAAGAGATGAGAGAGATTTGACAGAGGCGTGAAACAAGCTATGAGATGGGTTCAATCCGTATACCCAAGTTGAAACAGTCAAAGGATAAAACGGTAATTGTACCTCAAAATGGAACCTAGTTGTACAATCAGCCTCGCTACTTAGACTTTTTGACTATTTTCAATTATGAGGCTACAATAGCCTAGATTTTGTTTTTCCAAACAACTCCTTAATTTAGTCATTTTGTCTTAATTACCATCAAATTTATTTTACATATGCTTCTAATGCGTCAAACAAATCATAAATTTTAATGCCTAATTTAAATGAAAGTACAAAATTAAAATAATAGGGATCAAAATAGAATTTAGATCAAATTACAGAGGTAAAAGAAAATGCAATTTACCCTTGCAACGAGCAGGGAATATAGCTATTTTACAGAGACAAGCAATCAAGGAGTGAAATTTTTTTTCAAATTTTAATAACTACACTTGGTTAAATGGAGTGAGAAACAAACAAACAAATGAACGAATAAAAACAGGGTGACCAAAAAAAATCCATTGGTTTTACCTCTAACTAACATGTAGTTGAGAAGGCAAAACCAAAGCTTTGCAAATGCATGAACCTACCAAAATTTCCTATTCCAGATTGAAATCTAATTTCAAAATTGTTGGAAATCTCCTACATATTATCAATTACCATCCTTTTCCCATTCGAAGACCTAAGCCGAGACTTAATGGTCCCTTCTTTCCATCCTTTTTGACGAGCCCTGAGCTCCCACATCTCAGTAAGTTCCTTCTGTGCTTTTAGTGTCGCTTCAGACCTCTCCCTCGCTTCTTCGCAAGTCTCCATCCCAGAATTGCACTTGTCCGCCTCCTTCTGATACTGTGACGCCATTTTTTTAGCCTCTAATAATGCCATGTCAGCACGCCTTTGGTTTTCCAAAGCTTCAGCTTCTTTCAACTTCATTTCCTCCGTTAACATTGCTGTAAAACTCTTATCTGATTCTTCGTTCACCTCAGGATCAAGCTTCATGCAATCTGAAGAGAAAAAATAAGAGAGGAAAGCAAAAATGACACATCAAACGCTTTGAATCTGTTAGTATATTATTATAATGTTAGTGTAGTGCATAGCTTTAATATAACTTTACAAAAAGCTTGTTCCTGTCGGCCACTTTCGGTTTGCTTTTATAATGTATTCATAATGTATGTCTGTAATCTTCTCCTATATAAAGGAGCTTCTGAACATTGTTAGAAATATCAATATATACATAATTTATTCTCTCCCTTTCTCTATACGGTTATTCTAACATGGTATTAGAGCTATAAGATTTAGGCCTGTATTTCTTTCTTACTGGCGGGTAGCCAGCCGACAACTTTGCCTACGCTACCTGCTGGAGATTTCTACGCATATCTTCACTCTGCTGCATCTTCCAACAAGATCTTCTGTGTGTTCAGATCTTTGTATGCAACACCATGGTCGTTCATGAACTTCATCCCTTCTGCCACATCCGCAGAAATCCTTATAATTGCCTTAGCCTGGAGCTTCTTGGTCTTCAGCATAATATCATGAATTGACCCACCTTCCATGCACGACGAGCTCTCCGAATCTCAAGACATCGTGGCCGGCGATGGCACCACCACCGTCGTCGTGATCGCCGGAGCTGAGGAGCACTCACGCTATAACAAAAACTTCTTTCTCTCTCTACCCCATCTAGGTCTCTCACTGAGTCAAGATGGACTTTTTCTCCTGCGAGTCAAACTCGGTCTGTCAGATCCCAACGGTGCCCTCACCGACTGGAACGACCGCGACGCCACTCCATGCAACTGGACCGGCATCACCTGCGACCCGGCCACCGGTTCAGTCAGCTCGGTCGACCTCTCCAACGCCGGCCTCGCCGGTCCACTCCTTCCTTTGCCAGATCGCTTCTTGTTGCCTCTGTGTGGGTTGTGAAATATTCAAGATAAATCCCTCTGAAATCTTCTATTGATGAACATTCTTCTTTCATCATTTGCGCAATATTCATCATTTGCGCAATATTCATCATTTTTGCAAGCGCAATAGGATTGTTGGTAGTGGGTGGTCATGGGTACTGCTCCTGATGATGGGATTTCACATCTTTCGTGTGATATTGTTCCATTCAAACCCATTCTTCTTTCCTTTTTATTTATTTATTTCTTTAATCACACCTATATTTCCCACTATCCAAACTCCCAGTCAGTGCCTCTCTTCTAACCTCTCACAGTCCACACCCATTCTTCTTTTATTTATTTAATCACACCCACTAAGATTGTTTCACTCTCATTATCACATCCATACACACCGCTATCCTGTTGTCTTCAACTTTCTTTTATTTATCATTTTAAGATACACACTTATCATGTTGTTCCCAATTTTGTCTACTACATCGGTCCGGCATGACCCCGTAAACTGTCCCGACATTGATTCTGGTTAGCTCCTACAACGGTCTGACACGACCACACAGTGTCTACTACATCGGTCCGGCATGACCCCGTAAACTGTCCCGACATTGATTCTGGTTAGCTCCTACAACGGTCTGACACGACCACACAGTGTCTACTACATCGGTCCGGCATGACCCCGTAAACTGTCCCGACATTGATTCTGGTTAGCTCCTACAACGGTCTGACACGACCACACAGTGTCTACTACATCGGTCCGGCATGACCCCGTAAACTGTCCCGACATTGATTTCGATTAGCTCCTACAATGGCCCGACACGACCATGCAGTGTCTCCTATCCTATTTTATTTTATTTATCAGTTTATTCTCATGTTTTGTTACTCTGTCCAAACTCAAGTTGGTTTGTGCCTATCTTTCTTGAGTTTGAGGGGGGCTGTTACTATATTATTATAACGTTAGTGTAATGCATAACTTTAATATAGCTTTACAGAAAGCTTGTTCCTTTCGGCCACTTTCGGTTTGCCTTCATAATGTATTCATAATGTATGTTTGTAATCCTCTCCTATATAAAGGAGCTCCTGAACATTGTTAGAAATATCAATATATACATAATTTATTCTCTCTCTTTCTCTATGCAGTTATTCTAACATAATCATTGTTATTTGACTAAGACCAATTCTAAAAAAGTCACGTATTTCGAATTCTAGTGTTGACACGAAGGGAAAACCTCTGAAAGGTATGATATTGAAATTACTTCAACCAGAGCTTATGGAAGGAATGCTCTCATTTGCTTACAAAATGAAAAGCTCTTGACAACTCAACACAAGCCTTTTCTCAATTCATTGGGATCAGCTATACGGATGTATTTTCTCCAGTCGGCTCTATAACCACCAACTGAGAATTTCTTAGGATTCATTTTTGTAAAGTGTGACTGAGTTTCTACCATGCCCGGTTGTGTAAAAGATGAGACACTATAAGATCCTATTTGGCATAGGCTAAAAAAGCAACTAAAAAGGTTTTAAAAGAACATTTTTATTTAAAAAAAAGTAATTATTTTAGCAATTACGAGACGCATCATCTTTTTAGATTCTAAAATGACAACCACATTTGGAATTGCTTATGAAATGATAATTTAATAAAATTAAATAAAAAACCTAGATTCTTGTTCGCTTGTTGCACAAAGCAAGAGGTCAATGTAACATGAAAATCCAGTTTCATACTGGATAGAGTATTCACAATTTAGTTTTTAAAAAACCAGTAATGTTAGGAACATAGAACGGTTCATAGAAAATGCAATTGATGACTGGGATTGAACCTAGTTATTGTAGGGTTCACATCCAAAATAAATCTTCGCCATCGAATGCACTTTTCTATAATTGATTTTGTATTTCTATTTGTGTTAGTCATATTTTGTGTTTAAAATATTATATGCACAAGAAAAATCGAGTATAACATCTATGTAACATTTTTTGCACAACATTTATCTATAAACTATGAAATTCTCTAGCAGTGCTAACAACTAAACTAGCCAATCAAATTTAGTTTTAGTTATCTCGAATTATGATCTACCCATCTATGAAGTCAGCGCTAAATGTTAAAAAGAAACATCCTACATTTATCTCACAATTGTCTATGTTGAAGAAGAAGAATAAGAGTCATCTTATCCCAAAAATATTTACTGCATAAAAGATTCAGATTCCAACACATAAATAAATGAATAAAAATTAGTTCCTAAGGGATTTACCAAAAAGAAAAAAAAAAAAAAAGTTCCTAAGGGAGAGGAAATGGTAATCATAGCATAGGAGAATGCATTGATCTGGTAAGCAAATGAACTAATAGGCACAACCATCAAGCATAGATGCATAGCATAAAATTTCAACTTCACATGCAGCAAATATGATTATAGAATGCCAAAAGTTAAAATCAAATTTCAAATCTATATTTTCAAGTTTCAACTCTGCGGAAACACTAATCTCAATTCATAGAGACAATAATCAAAATTTTGAATCGAATTTCTAAAAAAAATAAAATAAAAAATAAAACACGCAGTTGATGTTGGAAAACAAACCTGTAAAGATGGAGTTGTTTAATCCTGCAGAAAAAATAAACAAAGAAAATCACATTAAAGACGCATTCACTAGAAGAGTTCTGCTTGTAAGGCAAAAAAACACTTGGCATTTTAATTTGTCTCTGTATAACATATAAAAATTGTAATATATATATTATTATATAAAGTGTATAGCTTAGAACATGAAACTTTGTCACAATTTTTCTCTTTATGAAATTGCCTTTATGTAACTGCCAAAATATACATTTAAGATCTAACTGTTTCAAACTTAATAATTACCAATATCCAACTACTTCACACACATGTAGTCTAGAATAAAAAATGCAATAACTGTGTGTAAAATCCAAATTATTAATGACAGCAAGTTGAGCACAAAAAACATAACATCTGCAATCATGAATTGAGAAAAGTACATATAATGAGATTTGAATGAACAAATATTAATTAGAGCAATGTTTTGCATGATTAGAAGCATTATTGTTCTAGCTCATAAGTCTATGTATTCTTAAATTTAAAATTCGAGAAGTCCAACCTTGAAATACATTCTTGCACACCTGAATATATGTAACATAAAGTGTCGTCACCAAGTTGATTAAGCCACAATTCATACCAATGTGACATCCAAAATAATCATCTATATTTTTTAATTTATTATTTTTTCAACAATTTCAAAAAAAATTTTCTACAAGAAGTAATTGAGATATTTTATTTTGTAAAAAGAAAATTTATTTACTCGATTAAAGGATACAATTCAAATGTCGAAAAAATTTAGAAAAAATTGGAATCAAATGGAAACCGATATAATTGAGTAGAGAGAAAATATTCATATAGTCGATCTCATTTGATGAGACTTAATTTTGCAAATCGAATGAGTTTTTCATAATACAAACCATCAACATCCTTGTAAAATGTTAAAAGCATTCCAAAAAACAAAAGGAGGAAGAAATAAAGGATCTAAAATGTACATCAATATATGTATAGATATTTACATGGGTTTTGAATGGTGATGAGAGAGAGAGAGAAGAGAGAGATGGGGTACCTTCGGAGAGGGAGAGAAAGGGTTGGGAAGAGCAATCACAGAGGCAAGGAGGGCAAGAGGATCGGCGTAGGGAGGCTAAAGCCTCGGAGATGTGCCAATACAAAGGTGGTACAATTATGTAGCCAGCCAAGCACACTCCCATCAACCCCATTGCCACTTTCACCATCCTCTGCCCTCCTCCTCCACCATGTTTCTGCTTCTTGTTCTTCTGCGTATTCATAGCTCTCTCTCTCTCTAACCTTTTGTGAGGGATCTGAATGTTGTTTTTGTGATCAGATCATATCAGCATATTCATCTAGGTCTCTCTTTCTAAAATTTTGTGAGGGATCTGAATGTTTTTGTGATCAGATCATACCATACGAGGGTAGGGAGTGGCACCAAAAACCAAACTGCAAGTTTTGATGGAGTTGCAGAGTTTCAATCTAAGACGGATTTGGGTATATAACACAACTGTCGAACATTCATACGCCGTCGTATTTGTGCAGTTTGCTTTACCAACAAGAAAAGTGGATTCAATTCAACAACCCACCCACCGCGGGTAGGCGAAGGGCCTAAAAGGTAATTTCACATATTATATATATATATATATATATATATTGAGCAATTTTATTTGGGAGACTTATTTATAAGTTCTATTTTAGACCCTTATGCTATGTTAAATCTTGTGTAATTTTTTTTAGAATTTCAAGTCTTATTTAGATATGAATATATTCCATAAGATTCTATGAGTTGTAAATAAATGGTATTAATATACTATTATACACTATAATGGCAAAACCATATATAGAAAATTGAATGTTATCATAAATCATATCTATATGAATGTGAATTTCAAAATACATGAACAAGTAACATTTTCACATTCAATTTAAAAAATAAAAAACCTAGTAAGTTTGCAAAACATAATGTGTTACGTTACGTTTATGTAGGTGTCACGTTACGTTACGTTACGTTTATATAGAAAATTGAATGTTACCATAAATCATATCTATATGAATGTGAATTTCAAAATACCCGAACAAGTAACATTTTCACATTCATTTTAAAAAATCAAAAACCTAGTAAGTTTGCGAAATGTAACATGACACGTTACGTTATGTTTATGTAAGTGTCACGTTACATTACGTTTATGTAGGTGTCATGTCACGTTACGTTTATGTAATGTCTCGTCTGATATGGTCACGTTACGTTACGTTTATATACGTGTCACGTTACGTTTCGCAAACTTAATCTATAGTAACATTCAATTTCCTATATATGGTTTTACCATAATTTATGATATTAACAACTAATATTAAGAGCAAATGTGTCAACAAATTTCACACAGGACTTATGAGACATAAGTTTTTTAGTAGGACTATATGTAGCATACGTCTCCCTAATAAGACTTATAAATAATTTTCTCATTTTATTTTCATGTTTTTTAATTTCTGTGCACATCCTATCTCAATTTATATATTTATAAATTTAATTATATATTATTATTCTCGTTCTACACACAAAATATTCTAATTATATTCCTCATCCATAATGTGCACATACACCACATAAAAACACATTTCCACATACATCTTCGTACTTCTAAATCATTTTCATTATACACACCAAATTGTTCTGGATATTAAAAATAAAAAATAAATAAAAAATCAACTTTTGCATATAAAACTCAAATTTTCATAGCTGTATTGGTTATAAACCGTCATATTCTTATTTGACTTTGAAATTTTATTAATTTGTGAATTATCCATCACAAAAATTAAAATGATGGATTCGAATAGAAAAAGGGTAAAAGTAATAGAGTATGAACTTCCACAAATCTGTAGAGTGAACAATGAAGAAATATAAAAAGATTTTATGACAAACAATAAATGACAATAGAGTGTAGTAACAGAGGAAGTGAAAAATAATAGAAAGTTTTAATTTCGGATGATTTTCTGGGCAACATTGAATTGGGGATCAACTATGGCTTTAATTTCTGATTTGGTCTCATGTCAGAGACAGATTTCGTTGAATTCATGAGGTCTCGACTGCCTTTTTTTTTTTTTTCCCTTCTTTTTCTTTCTTATTTGTTGCTCTGTCAAACCCTGTGTTCACTGTTGGAATCTCTTCAAAGTGGCTGAGGTGGGCTGCGCTATTTTCTTGTATTGCTTATTGAACTTTGATATTTTTTCCATTGTTCTATCTCTTAATATACGATGATTTGTTTTAGCGGATTAAAAGGAAAGGCAAAAAAAAAAAAAAAAAAGACTAGAGGGTTTTAGTTTTTTGTTTTTTCAAAATAAGTGGATGGAGAATTATTATTTCCAAAAAATGTGTGCAGAGAAAATTAGGTTTTAATATTTAGTGGTTGTATTGATATTCATTATGGTAATTTTATTTAATGGTAAAATTGTAATAAATTTTTTTTTTTTTTATTAAGAGTGCTGCGATTAGCACCCATCAAATATTTTGAACCTATACTTATAAATTTTAAAACCTTTAAAAAAAAAATCTCCCCAAATAATACTAAAATTATCCTTATAAAAACATTTTACGAATTCAATTGAATGCACATCTTCACACCCCCATATCCCAAAAGGCCTCTCTCTAAAAAAGAAAATGCTATACAAACAAAAAAAGTTTACAAACTTTTCTTACAAACTGATGTGGCATAGAGTGATACAACTTTGGAATGTGAAATGAGGCCCAACTTATTAATATTCTAGGTGACATATCAGCTTGTAAGGAAAGTTTTCCTAACAAAATCCACGTGATTATTATTTCATCTCCACGTACTTGTTAATGACCTGAGAAAATAAATGTAAATATTTTTTATTTTTTTATTCGAAATTCCACTTTTATGGATTTTGCAATCTCCACGAGTTTCGATTATCTGTTCTCGAACAAATAAGAAATATTCGGTTGCTTGTTTCCGAATAAATGAACAATGTTCGGGCATATGTTCTTAAATTTTAGTCATATGTTCAGGGGTTTAGTCTCGAAAAAATGATGAACAATTTTTATTGTTTTTGCCATTTTTTTTCAAGAAACTTACTCTTATAAAGCCAATCTCTTTTGAGTTAAGAACACCATCAAAGTTATAAACCTCCTCTGAGCTTTTATTATTATACTCCTCTTGTCTCATAGAGTTGTGGTTGCCGGAAAAACTTTCACTTATTGTTATTATCAGAAAAGTGTAGGTAATTAAATAGTTGTCACCGCTACCGCCAGAATATTATCACCAAAGAGTTTTCAAGGTTTTGAGGGTGGATAGATTTTGAAGGTGAAATTTGGAAAAGATAGATGGATGGTGATGGAGGTGTGTATTCTCATAAACCCCAACTCATAATTTCATTTGAGGTTATTATTATAATTTTTGAAAAAAAACCTAAAAATTGGGGGTCCCAAATAATTGATGGGGTGCTAATAGTAACACTATTCATTAAATGTGTACACAGAGATTCAAGGGTGTGTGGAAATAGAAATTTTCATATTTTTTAGAATAAATTACAATACACCTCCTGAGATTTGTTTAAAATATGAATTGCTCTCTATAATTTAAAAAATTATAAATACACCATTATCAGTATTTTTTTTTATGTAACAGAATTAATTAAAAAAATAAATTTTCTAATTATTTTTCTATACAATAATAAAATTTATGAATTATTAATTCAAATAAATTTCTGACATAATTAAAAGCTGCTACTTGACTTGATGATTTATTAACAAAAGAGATTATTTGTTATGAAATTATAAATTGCAAAGGGTGAGATGTAATTTTTAGAACCACGAGGACAATTCGTATTTTAAACAAATCTCATGAGATATATTTATAATTTACCCATAAAAAATTCTAACAATGAGGCATTTGCAAAATTTCAAATTATAGGAGGGCAATTCATATTTTAATGTAAACCTCAAGAGATATATTTGTAATTTATCTTATTTTTTTAAATATTGTTGTTACTTTCTGTTTAAATTTTCACTTTTTGAAACGCAACTAATGAAAATATTAGAAAGATGATCTCCAAACTGAAAGTAACAACAATATTTAACAACAAACTGAAAGTAACTCAAGAGATATATTTGTAATTTATCTTATTTTTATTTTGAAAGTACGCTAATTGAGTCTTTTTTACTACTATTCTTGGTAACGTGATTTGAAAGCTGTTTTTTTTTAATAAGTCAATATACTTTTCTTTTTTTAAAAGCTATTTAGTGCAATTGATTTTAGTTCATTTTAAGTGTCTTTCTTTGGATCTTAGTAAAGTATAAAAGACTAAAACATGGATATTTTTAGATAGAAAAATTAGTCTAAAATCTCTCTCTTATTTTTAGGAATGAAAGAGATTCACGATATTATTTTATGATGTCTAAAGTCCTTCAAATCCACACCCATATATCATAGAGAAATTTGACTCTCTCTCTCTCTCTTTGCGATCTTCATGCAAGTTCATTTCTCTCTCTCTCCGAACCAAACCCTCTCAATCGAGCCCTAAGTTGGTCCTCTTCCAGAGCTTCTTTTTCCTCTAATTTCCTCTTTCTCTCCGTTGCCGACAGCGTCTCTGGCGATTGCTCCGGCTAGAAGTTCCGTCTCGCTTCTCTCAACCCCTACTTCAACTCTTATTCCAAAAGCGGCGTCGCCACCATTCGTAGAGGCTTTTTCAATATTTTGAATTGGGAATCCTTTGTTGTTTTCGTCCCTGAGAAGGATATTCCAAATTTGAAAAGTATACTCCTTTCAATCCCGCAAAAGAAGTATCTCGAGATGCAACAGAGAGTAAAGAAAGTACAACAACATTTTTTCTGGCATGCTAGACCTGTGAAGTATGATATCTTTCATATGATACTCCACTCGATATGGTACAATCGAGTTTTTTGAATAAGATCCAGATGACAACTGTTGCCTTTGATTACAAAAAGATTATAAGTAAACTTATTTTTTTCTAGAATTAGATTAAGTGCCCTGTTGTAAGGAATTGAGGATATGAAAACATTGCAAGGAAACATAAATTTATTGTTGTAGAGCAATTTGTTTTTAAGCTTTTGATTAAGATTCTTGTAGTTCTTGAAGTGTCATTATTTGTTGCTGTACATAAATTTATAGAAAAATAAATTATACTTTGATGTGAAGATCTCTCTCTCTAGACATCTCTTGACAAAGTCATTTTGGTAAGTACTGTATAAGTGTGTAGACATCTCTTGATATGTTATGATGTTATGAGCTTGGGAGTTATTGGATTACCTTTACTTTACATGTAATGATATGAGAGATTAATACCTAGCTATGTGTTCCTATTTGTTTTGCTTAATAGAGTAGTTGTTGATGTTGGAAATTGGTCTCATATCGTCGTAGCAGCTTACAGATCTTAGGGTTGCCTGAAAAAGGTTACCAGAAAGTAGACTTACCAACTCTCTTCTGCCGTTGAAGTTTGAAGAAAAAAAA